TGGTAGTTGTGGTCTGTTAGTCCTTTGGACGAGTCTTTCCCTTGTATCTTATTTGCTTCATTCTTCCAGGAGCTTTCTGATTCTAATCTCAGCCAGGGTTGGGAGCTGAGTATGAATAGGAAACTATTTACAGTGTACTGGGAAGAACATCAGATTGGAAGTTAGGAGTTCTGGAATTCCAATCCTGGTTTTGCTGTAGACTCGTTATTAACTTCATTCTGCCTCTTTGAGCTTTAGTTTTCACATTTATAAGATGAAGTAGATAATTGTGAGGATTGTGAGGATTATATAAGAAAATGTGGGAAAATGCTTTGAAAGTACTACATAATAATGATGCACTATTGGGTGCCTTCTATGTGTCCTACAGTATGTGAAATACTTGCCTTACATTATCACAGTTACTGCTTACAATAAATAACCCTCCCAGGCTAGTTTTAGTTCCACTCACAGAGGCCAAAAGTGAGGTTTACAGAGGTTAGGAACTTCACTATGGCCATATAACCTTGGCAGAACCAGATATTTAACTGCCACCATATACTGTCACCCCCAAAATTTGGCATCGTTATTCCGTTACTGGGTAGTTGGATCATTTGTTGATTGTTTCTCAGCATGACCACACCAGCTCTTTGTCAGCATTTTCTACAGAAGGACTGGACTGATTCCCTGAGGGAAATCTGGATTCTTTAAGCCAAGTTCTAAGTACAGTCATTGTGAGGCTTGGTGACTGATTAAAACTTCAGACTTCTGATGAGCTCCACTTTTTTTTCTCTTGCAGCTAGAGGAGCCAGTGGACCTGGCTGTGCTTGAGGAAATCCAACAGGAGCTGATTGACCAAGGTGACCCCTGAGAGTAGTCCTTCCTACCTATATTTAGCTACTCTAACGCTGACCTTTCCTTTCAACAGGATAGTTCTTAACGGAACTTTGAACTGGTTCAGCAAGTTCCCAGGAGATGCTAATGCTGCTGGTTAGGGACCAGTTCTGAGAACCATTGGTAGAGCAGTGGTTCTCAAAATTTATTATACATAAGAATCACCTGGGGATCTTGTTAAAATTCAGTATGTATCTGGGATGGAAACGCAAGTTCTTAGCAGGGGTTCAAACTGGAATGGTTCAAAGCCCTGGTTCTTAACTCCCTTCCTTTACCTCCGTGTTCAGTCAAGTGTCCAGAAGTCTCTGTTTATACTCTGAAGACATGTCTGTCTTCCCAATAATAAGGATCTCTAGTGTGTTAGGCCTTGTGCTAAGAACTTCCCATTCCATTGTATTGTTTTCTCTTATGACTACCCTACAAGACAGAATCAGAAGAAAAAGTGGTGTCTTACCAAGGTCACACAGCTAGTAAGTGGTGGAGTTGAGAAGCCGAATCAGTTGTGTGAACCCAGTTCCCATGCTTATTCCACTGTCCTACTGCACCTCTCTGTTGATAGGTTAATAATGATCCTCTCACTTCACGGGATACAATTTAAGTGCCTTCTCTCTCATCCATTCTTTACTGACTCCTCAGGGTCGTGTGAACATCTACTCCTTGGGGCATCCACAGCACTGTGCAGAATGCATAGTTTAGCACCTTATATAATTAAGTCATTTATTCCACATAGTCTTGTCTTAAATAGGCTTAGTTTTTCTCATCCCTAAAATAGAGGTAATAGACCTGCCCTGTAAGTTTGTTTTAAAGCTTAAACAAACAACATGTGTAGAGGACTCAGAGCAGTGTCTGGTGTGGATAGGTTTGCAGTCAGTGGACAGCTTCTGCTGGCATCAGAAGTAAGTGCCATGTAGTGTCAGCTTCCTCCAGGTGCCCCTGGCACCCTTACATTCCACATCTCTGCCCCGGTGGCCTCTGGAGACGTGTGTCCAAGTTGTCTCCTTGTCCCTTAGCCTCACTCCACCTCTTAAGCTCACAAGGAGGGGACAGACAGGAGGGGGAGAGATCCAACAAGTTAATGCTAGCCTGAGAGAGCAGTGAAGACCTACCAATTGGTTATGTGTTTTTGCCTGAATCTTTTTCTTGTTGGAAGAAGACCTTGAAGGTGAAGCTTAGCATTAAAGACAGGGCCGTCTGGGTGAAGCATGGTGAAGCACTACAGCTGCCCTTTGCCTTGCAGAGCAGGCCATCATCAGTGAGTATGAGAAGAGCTTGCAGTTTGATGAACAGTGTCTCAGCATCATGCTGGCTGAGTGGGAAGCAAACCCCCTCATCTGTCCTGTGTGTACAAAGTAAGAGTTTTCAAAACCTTTTCATCATTATTGGTTTCCACCCCTTGCTCCAAAGTGAGTGGAATTTCCCCCAAGTTTGCTGCCTGGAAACGTTTGGGGATTCAGGTCTGGTGTCCATGCAGACCCTGATGCCATGGGATCCCATCTCTGCCTTTAGGTACAACCTGAGAATAACAAGTGGCGTGGTCATGTGTCAGTGTGGCCTGTACATCCCATCTCATGTGAGTGTTCCACACACAGATTTGGGGCCACTTCTTCCCACATCTATCTGCTTTCTTAAAGAGCCTTCAGTAGTGTGCTAGAGCTGATTGTGCATCTCTCTTCCCAGCACTCCGTCCATCGATGTCACATTAGTAGCTTGACATTGGCCACAGTGAGAACATTTAGAGCATGGAAATGGGCAAATCAAGGTCTCCCCCAACTTCCCCAGAGCCATATGTTAAACACGTATTATTGTACCACTGCTTAAGATCTTTTATAGAGATCCCAGTTTAGAATTGGAAACATCTGCATCTAATCTCCCGTTAAAAATTTGTGTATATGAAGACCTACCTATATTCAGAATTTAAGGTTCTTAAAATCTTAAAATATAGTAGGAGCCCTGACATGATAGGGACTGAAAGTTCACCAGTTAATTCAGCAGTTTGGTTAAAGTGACGAATTATAAAAATGAAACATTTTATAGTAAGTTTGATATACAGATTTATTTGCCAGTCTTTGAGTGAGGCTCTGCTGATTGTAGATCTGAGTCATCTTTTTTGCATAAGTCAGTTCCAGTTTTATTTCTATAAAGTGGATCAAGAAGCTGAGTGCATAGCTTTAGGATTTTTCCTCCCTGTTTTTTATCTAATTCAGCAGCTTTTTAAGAATTTTTATTAACCAGTCATCTTTTTGAGTGTTTCCTAAACATTCCACTTATTGTCATAAAAACAAAAACTCTGTTTTTCATTCTCATATTTCACTGGTTTTATATGACATGTAATTAAATTATTAATTATAGTAGGAAGTATAATTAGCACAGAGAGATCTGAGACCAGATATAGCTGACTCTTGGTAAGGATACTCTTGGCTGGTGGAGGCAGAGCATGAGGGAGGCTAGAAAGGAGCCTGCTATCTCTGAGTGTTCTGTGTGCCATGAGCAGTGGTTAGTATGTCTTATAGCAGGAATAGAGAGCACTGGTTTATCTGGAAGGGTGGTTAAATGGAGATTGGTTAGGAGATCTTGTTAGCATAATCATGAGCCCAAAGAGCATATTTAAAGGTCTGAGGAATCAAGCCTTACAGTGAGCCAGAGTTATATTGGTTGACCTGAGGAATCAGGATTTTCAACCTATTGACTCTAATGTAACGAAGATTCCGTTGAAGTTTAACTTCTTTACTTTTCAGTCTCCAGAGCTGACAGAGCAGAAGCTCCGTGCCTTCTTAGAAGATCATATACAGGAGCACAGTATACATTGTCCTCACACACCTGAGTTTTTAGTCACTAAAGGAACAGAAGAAAAGTCCAGTCTTTTCATGAGCTGTCTGGTAAGCCTCTCATGGGACCCAGTGGTAAGAGAGGATCAGTGGCTGATTTTATTCCTGCCTTGACAGAAATAACAGGTTAGAAACTGGTAAATGTTTAAAAATGCAGTTTATTCTCTGAGGAATTTACTTGCAGAGAAAAGTGAAGGTATCAAGTCATCTCCACTGTACCTGATGCCATATCCCCTGTAACACTCTTGCAGGTATCTATTCAAATGTCTTGGAGCATTAAGCAAGGAACTGATCTTTATTTTTATTCCCAGTACTTGGCACATAGAAAGATGGTTAATATTTGTTTGTAGAAGTGAGTTAAGGTGGAAGGAGGAGAGTTGAAGTCAGGTGGTTTCTGCCATCTTAGTAAGATGAACAAGTGAGTATAATGGTAGCAGAGCTGGAGTGTGGAGCCCCTTAAGAGTGTGAAAGTTTTAGACCAAGTGCTGGAGGGAACGGGAAAGGCATTTAAAGAGGAAGGGAAGGATTGCCTAAGTGCTGTATATACAGCTGCAGCATCTGCTTCTCGTGGACCCCGTTGCCCTCGCACTTGCCATCAGTGCCCTGCAGCTCAAAGCAGCAGTGAAGCTAAGTGGATGGTGAGGTTTGGAAGGAGTGCTGTAAGAGGCATCAGCAGTCTCAGGAGAGTGTGATGGCTGCACGGTAGGCAGGGAGGCCATTGCTGTGGGGAGGGCTCACAGCAAAGATGAAATGATAAACAGGAGTGGGAAGGAAGGGCAAAATTGTATTAAGCAGGATCCCAGAGTTCAACATTTTGAAAGGTAGATCATTCAAATGCTCTTAAATACTAGTATGCCACTAGGCCTTTAGTTTCACTTAATCAAGGTGGAAACCAGGCCCATTGGGTTCAAGAGCTATTGAGGTCAGGCTGTAGGGCGATTCAGCATTGAAGGCTGAGGATGAAGTACAAGATAGGTGTGGCAGTTGTAGATGGTATATGTACTGCAAGGACTTAAATATTTGAGCTATGAGAGGAATAGTGGTCCTGGAGCCTTTATAGCCCAGCAGGGATGTGACTCTAACTTCCCTAATGGATGCAATGTGCTAAACCACAGCTGGTAAGCAGGGTTGTAAGGTAGAGTCTTCCAGAGAAAGCCAAATATATTGTCTTAGTCTAGGTTCTCTAGAGAAGCAAAACCAGTGAAGTGTGTATGTATGTATAGACAGTGTATATATACAGAGAGATTTATATCAAGGAACATGGCTCATGTGGTTGTAGAGGCTGGAAAGTCCCAAGCCTGTGGGCCGGGCTAGAGGCTTCTCCTGACTCATGTAGCCGCAGGTGCTGGCGAACCCAAGATCAGCAGGTCAGATAGGAGTCCTCTGGTTCACGGGCTACAATGGCCAACAAATCCCAAGATCAGCAGGTAAGCTGCTAGCTCAAGTCCCAAGAACCAGAGGTCAGATAAGGATCCAGAGTGAGCAAAAGCCAGCAAGCTTTGCTGGTAAAGTCCAAATATATTGGATACGGGCCACACCCCTAAGGAAACTCCCTTTCAGCTGACTGGCTGCTCATAGATCTCATCATGGAGGTTATTACATCATAACTGCCAAATCACTGATAATCATGGCCCAGCCAAGGTGACACACCATCTTAACCATCACACCTATGGAAGCAGAAAGTTCGCGTCCATGGTCAAAGTTAAGAACAGAAGTCCCTACCATAATGGTGGGGCTGAGCTGTCAAGGAGTTATATACTGACAGGTGCTTGCTGATCAAGAGAAGATGTGCTCAAGTTAATGAGTTGTTTCTGCCTGTAGCAGGCAGTCGTGTTCCTCTGCCACGACACATGCCCTTTGCAGTCTTGTTAGGACTCACACTTCCCTGCTGTGCTATAGACTCCAGGCTGTCAAGAGTTTGAATTATCTTTCTGGTCACTGGTTTACTGAGGGTGAGGATATTTGATTAGGATTTGATCTCAGCTTTACGACTGTATTTGGCGCTGATAGTTTCAAAGGCAGTTGCTTTAGGGCTACAGGACAGAGGCCCAGCAAAGACCAATAGCAGGAGTCATCAGTGGCCTCTGACGAACCACATGACTAATTTCATAATCGTAACTGAACTCACATCATCTCATATGTAGGAATTCTAACTGTAGCGTAAGTGTCATTATTGATTACAACTTTTTAACAGGTACTGAGGTAACTTTCATGACTGAAATACAAATTAAGCTAACCATTTTTTCTGTTTCAATCCAGGCTTGTGATACTTGGGCTGTCATCCTGGAGAGCCAGCCTTGACGTGACATCATTCTGCTGGATTGGAAACAACCCACTCCACCTGAGAAGGGCCTTGTATATACAAATCTGTTATTTATAACTTATTTTATATTAAATCCTTTCAAATTCTCTGCTCTGAGTGTTTTGTGATGCAGGTTGAAGGGGAAGAGATAGATAGAAAACTACCTTGAAGGGATAAACTGGTTTTATTGTCCATTATTATGTTATACCAAAAAGAAAAAGATCTAGAAATAATAGATTTGTAGAGAAGGACTAAATGAATACTAAACAAGAGTACAACAGAAATAATTTAAGCTTGAATTTCTTTCCATGATATTAGCATGATAACCATTTCAAAGCACATGTGTCTGGCCTTTAGAGTAGGTTTTGTTCACTGGCCAAAGCCTGCCATAAAATTAAAGGTTTTCAGTGTCTCTGTCTGCTCTACTGGATCTTGACAAAACTTCTGAGATCTTCTAGAAAAGTAATGTACTCCCGGTGCTCCAGGGCTGTGCTGAGCTCCACCAACTCATCTGCGAAAGTGTTGTCCACCCCTCGGTCCGCAAGGAAATCCATTAGGTGGTCATACAAGGCCTACAAGGAGGAACAACATTTACTAGTTTAGAAAAAGAAAAAAAGACTTCATCTGTAATGCTTATTATTAAAACACTTCTTTGTCTCTCATCCAACTACGACCCCCCTGTAAGGCACCAGAGCACCCAGTCTCATCCAACACTCACCCAGTCCAGGGAATCGGTGTTGAGTGTGTACTCAGTGTCCGTCCAGTCGGATTTGTCAGTGGACTGAAAACTCACTTCCCTGATGGAGAAAATGTCACTCTCCTCCTCCTCCTCTTGTCCAACCTGACAAGAAAAATAGACTATGCAGTTTGAAACTCACCAGACTTTAACCTTGCTCCCTCACCACCTCTCCTCCCCTGCTTTGCTGGTCTAAGCTAGAAAGTGTAAAAGGGACCAGGAAGGCCCCAAGAGACACTCCTTGTCCCCAGGGGCTAGCACTCCATCCTACATACCTCATCCTCTGGATAATGGCAGTCCAGAACAAGGGCCTTCTTGCCGTCACTCTTTGTAACTTCAACCACAAAATTGGGAGTGGACGTCAGTTCAGGCTGGGGAAACAAGAAGTCAGTGCACGCCATGGTTGGCAGGGGTTGGCTGCCTGCACCAAAGGTCTGACGGCCACCACTATTACGATACTGGTCGGTTTTTATAGTGTCCCCAAATAAGGAGCCTACAATCTTTGAGTGTTAAAGCCATATATCAATTAATTCAGGAGACTTGCCTAAATTCTTCCTGTTGATCCTGTCTAGACTTCTACACTATCTTTTAAAATGGCCACGTATCAAATATTTAGTGCAGTGCTTAACTTTCCATTAGCACCCTACTTGTTTAAAGAACATACTAGGTTTAGAATTAAGAAAGCTAGGTCCCAGCCCCAGCTAAGTGCAATTAACTAAGATCTGGATAAGTACCTTACTCTCCCTGGGTCTGTTTCTCCATCTGTAAACACCGCAAAGCTGACCTAGAGCTCCAAGATCTCTCTCCAGCTTGACTCTCTCGGGGGCTTCCTTTACTAGGGCCCAGCATCAAGGCTGGTGCAGCTGGGTCACTGGCCTCCTTAATGGCTGGATGATGGCCACGGTTCTCCCTTTGCTGGTGAGCCTGGGAGTAGAGTGAGTCCACGTGCTGGCTGTGGTGGCCAAGACAAGCATAACAGACGGCTATGCTGTGCCAGGCCATAAGACAGTACAGAGGCCTGCTCAGTCAGAAGGTCTGGGGACCCTGGGGCCTCATTCGGGCTTCCTAACACGTTTGAAGACTGGGCACCAGCCAGGTCCACATCAGCCTACAAGAGCTCACCTTGCCAAGTGTTAAATAAAACCTCTGAAGCACCTGGCTTTGCCACCTTGGTTGAGGTGGCTGGGTGTTTATTACCATCCTGTAACACATTAGCAACATTCCTCACCTGGAGATACTCCAAAGGATAACCTCTAACCTCACACATGTCCCCACTGTGGGAAGGGTTAAGAAAGTTTCAGATCTTTCCATCAAGAGAACACAGGCCAACCTCTAGAGCCTGAGTCTGCAGATGGCAATGTGTTCAGTCCCTGGGAAGGAAAAGGTGCCACAGCCCCAGTGCTAAAGCTGGCCAGAAACTGCTGCTCTACAAAAGTTCAGAATGGTCTTCCTTTGCCTTCTCTCCCAGCACTGAACCAGTTGCCATCGAGTCAATTCAGACTCAGGGCAATCCCATGGTGTCAGAGTAGAACTGTGCTCCATAGGCTATGATTTTCCAGAAGTAGATCACCAGGGCTTTCTTCCGAGGTGCCTCTGGGTGGACTTGGAACCTCCAAACTTTCAGTTAGCAGCCAATAACTTAACCATCTGTGCCACTCAGGGATTCCTAGGAGTTAAAAAAAAAAAAAAAAAAAGGAACTGCTCCTTTGTAGCCTGCCAGAAATCAGAGGGAAAGGCTGATTACAATGTTACAAGCTTACCTCTTTTTCTTCAACCTTCTGCCCTTCTGAGGTCTCCTCCTCCCCCCCATCAAATGTTGGTGGGATGCTATTGTTAATGTTAAAACTGACAGTGATCCTAGAAAGGCAAAGGAAAACAAGAGATGGTGTAATGTTAACTTAGTTTAATAGACTAGTATTGAGACCTACTATAGCCAGCAATGCTTGCTGAAACAATGTCTCTAGCCAAGCTGGCTGTCCATCTGAATTATCTGCAGAACTTCCAAAGAAGCCTGGGTGCCTACATCCAACCCGGAGATTGATTCAATAGGCCTTAAGTGTGCCTACTCTGTGCCAGCTGCTGTAAGTCAAACTAATAAGCCCTAGTTCGTCGTGGCCAAATACAGTCATGTGTGGGCTACTCCGGCAGGCCAGCATCCCTGGGCTCACTGCCAGCACATGTCCACTGGTCACCTCATGGCCATGGCCAGCTGACACAGCCTGCTCTGGTCTTTCCTTGGCACCAGGAGGTGAGCAGCCGAGAAGCCAGCAAGACAGAACAGAAGCTCCTGTAAGAGCTTTTTCCATCACAAAACCTGCCCCTGGAGGGAGGAAGAGTGAGCACTGGAGAGTTACATCAAGCGAGGACCATGAGCAGCCCCAGCCAGGAAAGGGGTCCTCACCAAGAAAAACACGCTGCAGGACAGACTTGATCTTCACTGTGCTGCAGGAGGCCAGAAACACCAGCTAATGACAATTTGAAGGTGCAAGCATCCTCACCAGACAAATCGTGTTCCACAGTTTGAGCCAGAATTCTGGTGATGCTAGATTTGGAACTAGCACCACTGGGCTGTGCACTCCAGCTGGTACCATTTGCATTTGCTGTTATGTGAAGGACACTTCTCGGAGCACACTAATCCATGCCCCCTGGAGTTGTGCTAACTGGCTGCCTTGCCAGGAAACCATCCTCCCATAGGAGCGATGTAGTTTGAGGTTCAGCCACAAAATCTATCCAATCTGCAACAGTGTTAACCAATAAACTAAGCTCCTGGGCACACAAATGCGTGACATTCTTTGCAGTGTTACTTATAAGAGACATAAGCTGGTTATGACTTACTATCCAACCCTAAAAAAATAGTTTAGGTGTAGTTACAGAACACACAACTGATCTATGTACGGAAAAAAAAAAAACTATACCTTTAGGCAAAAAAGAATTAAGAGTCTACCTCACAGATATACATAAATTAACTCAAAATGAATCACAGACCTAAAGATAACAGCTAAAACTACATAAAACTCAGAAGAAAATGTAGGTGTACATCTTGGTGACCTTGGGTCAGGCAATGGTTTCTTAGATAGGACACTAAAAGCATAAGTGACAGGAAAAAAAAAAAGATACATTGGACTTCAACATTAAAAACTTCTATGCTTCAAAGGACACCATCAAGAAAGTGAAAAGGGAACCCACAGAATGGAAGAAGATATTTGCAAATCGTATATCTGAGAAGGAAATTGTATCCAGAGTATATGACTAGGCAAATCCATAGAGACAGTAGATCAGTGGTTACTAAGGGGAGGGAGGACGAATGGGGAGTGACTGCTAATGGGCACCGTTTTTTTTTTGGGGGGGGGGTTGGGTAGTGGTGAAAATGTTCCATAATTAGACAGCGGTTATCAATGCACAACTTAGTGAATACTAAAAGCCACTGAATTGTCCACTTTAGGAAAAAAAACCAGAAGATGCTAAATGTTTATCTGTGTGACGGGATTAAGGATGACTGTATATTGCAGAAAAGCATAAACAAGAATTTAACAACAGGGAAGAGGAGCTGAAATAGGTCAAAAGCTCCCCACCTCTGAGTGCAACCCTTCCTATACTGTAACCCAGTTCTGTTACATATGAGTTACATATCTTGCTTTTTCACCTACTGTAAACATTTAGAGAGCAGGGGCCTTGTTTTACTCAGTCACAGACCCTGGCAGCATATTAATCAACACAGTAAACCAAATATCAAACTGATTATCAGTAATTTAAGAATTTCTGATTTTGCAGGCCTAAACTTAGACAGGGTACAGCCTCTCCACCAATAAAGGTTTACTGAATGATGGTCTTTATGGGCCCAAGAGACTTCAGCCACATGCTCTTGTGCTACTTCCTTACTGTCTTGTTGGTAACCAGCCCACAGCAAATTTGTGTTCAGTGAATGACCTGAAACTTAGGAACTTGTCCAAATGCACCCTTCTCTTTCCCTTGAAAATTATTTATCAAAGTACCTGCCTTAACTCAAAGCTGTTCTGGGGTAGGCCCAAGGCAGGTCTTACAGGGTCATGGATTTGGCCCCTGGAGTTCCCAGGCCCCCAGCCTGGTACTTACTTTTCCCCAGCAACTTTCCGCACTAATTTAGCTTCTGTCCCATTCACTTCCAGCTCCCAACCTCCAGACATCTTGGGGAGGGACTTATGCTTCTGGATCTTCTTTTCCTCCTTAATTTCATCATTCAGGAACTCAACAAAAGCTTTGTCTCCTAGAATGAAGAACCAGATGACACAGAAAAAAATAAGCCAATCAGTCTAAAGCATAAAACAATGACCCAGGTTACTGCAGCCAGATATCTGGACTTGGACTGTTTCTAATCTTTTTGCTTTTAACGGTTGCTCTAGGAATTTAGTCCAATTCACTTCATTAAACCTCACTATAAAAATTCTATAACGCTATCTGTGGGAAGCTGAGCTCGACTCTGGAAAAGTGATTTCCAACAGCGAACTCACTACCACGTTTCGCCACGAAGCAAAAGAACTCCCAGCTACCCTCTTAAACTTGCCAACAGACGTAACCAGGCTACTTTCAATCACAATCTTGAGCCTTCCTAAAGTTCTATTTTCGCGGGACTCAGGATAAAAGCAGCTTCCAAAGTTGAATTTTCTCTTTCCTGGAAGGAGTGAGGGAACGTGCTGACACGTGAGTTTAACAACCCGCTGTTTGCTAATCAATGAGCAAAGTGTTCGCATGTCCGGGGGAGGT